CCTTATGACAACTTTTCACTTCAAAATTACAACCACTTATTTGAATTCAAGTGAAATAAATTGGAGGGAAACAACATACACTTTTACAATTTTCAAGAAGTGTAAATAAGGGTATAATAGGAAAAAAATTGTTATCCTTTCTTGATTTGTCAAAATGGACAACTAAATAGGGACAACTAAAAAAGGAAATATGGACAAGTAAATAGGGACGGAGGGAATATCATTTTTGGAATGTTCCTATTTTCTGTAACAAAACTAAGCATCTTGATACTTTAAAATTTTCGTATGTTTACTTCTTTATATTTAATTTTCTCCTTTACCTGAAGCTTTCTCCTCTCACACTTGTTGTAAAATTTTCTCCTACACACGCATTTACTAATTATTATTGGAGCTAATAGCATTTGTGGTCCTTTAATTATTAATAAATTGTAATTTTAGTATACTTGTGATATCTGATTAATTAAAACACACATATATATATATTCTATTTATAGTCAACAAAGGGCAGTATGAATTCGTGTTTTTTGTGTCTTATCTGAAAAGTCATGAAATTTTCAAGAAGTCACAACCCTTTGGAAAAGTCACAACTTATCGAAAAAGTTACAACTTTTTGAAAAAGTCACAACTCAGCAAAATCACAACCTGTTGAAAAATGTCACAACTTATCAGAAAAGTCACAACTCATTGAAAAAGTCACAACTTAAGTTAGAGATATTATAGTAATTTAACATTCAAGTTAGGAGTTCATGCTTTTAAGGTAATATAGATATAGATGTAGATATAGATATATGACTTTTAATTAATTGAAACAAGCCATTTTTAATTTAATTGGCTTGTGAATATTTACAAATATATTATGATAATCAATCATTTCAACACTTATTAATACTAAATTAACCAACTTTTAGCTATTATTAAGAAGTCTTATGATTAATCAAATAACTTGATTTTTAACATCTTCCGTTCTTTTAATAAATTTGGCAATCGACCTATTAAGAATTTCATATTTCAATCGTTGTAATTTGCTCAATGTATACAATTGTCAAATAATTGGCTTATGTTTCAAAGGTACTTGTTATATTTAGATCAATAAAAGACGATCGGAGTAAACTGAATCAGAATATATAGATAGGATGTTTGCTAACTAAGATGGTTGCAACTTTACCATAAACCAACCATACAACATTTTTCATGTACACACTCAGACCATTGCCATATTACTTATATTTGAACCCATTTTATAGCCCATGCAATCGTATAACATTTAACAAAACTTATTTACTTTGTTTTAGCTAAAATCTCGCCGAACTAATCTCTATCAATCATGAATATTCTCTTACTACAAATATCTCTTGACCAAATGTAGTAATTTCCTAGAGTTATTCTCTCGAATGAATCACAATTAATTTAACCTTTTAGTCTATTCACTTAGATTGCATCAAATTTTAGTCATCTCTAACCTTCACTTTTAAATCTCAGTCATTAATCTATTAACACCTCGAAGTGACGTTGATCAATTAATACCTAATCTCAAAATCTCTCTCGAGAATAATAAGATCTAACGGCACCATTAATGGTTGGTCAATTAATACCTAAGTCTTTTTAGCACAGCGATTATCAGATGTGATCTTGATCATTTCATTAAGCATCTAATCAAATTTTGAAGCTCTATAACAAGTTTATTTTCGATCCAAACATGCTTAATAGCTTTGATAAATCTGCTATATTCAAAGAAACACACATAATAAGCACATAACTATTCGAATAATGATCAAGTAACAACAAAAGAACATATATAAAGTCTTTATAACAGTTAAGTATATGCATTTTTGGTGTCATTATAACAATTACCATTATACTTGTAAAATGAAAATAATAATAGGTTGTGGTTTACTCCCTATCCTTTTAATTTGTGTACTCGTTATATCCCAAAGAAAATAACATTAGAATATATTGTTTATTATTTAGATGTCAAATAACTTTTTTAACTCAAATTTTCAATTACATGAAGAAACTTTTTTAACTATAAAAGTTTTAATTATTATTACTCTAGTTTCTCCTCACACAACTCCATTTTTAAAAGAATTTAAAAGTTGATATCTTAATTTTCATCACTTTTATTTTCTTCTTTAAAATCTATTTAGATATGTGTCATTTGAGTCGATTGTTTTTAAGAAATAATTTTTCTACCTCCACGAGATAGAGATAAAATCTGCATATATCATATGTCATCAATCTCTACTTGTAAAATTATATGGTATGTTATTGTTAATTCTCATAATCTATAAAGGTGTTATTTTTGGAATTGAATTAATTGAAAATTAAAAAAATGGTTGACTACCAGTCAAACTCTATTCCACATGGTTGTCTCTCATTGGCTGGTCAAACTTGAAAATTCACATAATTTGAGAATTGGGCCTTACCACTAAAGCAAGCCCAGCCCACTTAAAATCCTTAAAATGGAAAATAGGAAAAAAACAAGGAACAATAGCACTTTGGTCCTTCAATTATTAATAATTTTTATTTTAATTCAAATAATATTTGATAAAGCAAATTTAATTCTTAATTAATTGAAAATGTGTGTTTTTGAATCCTGAAATATAATATAACATATGGGTAATTCAGTGATGAACAATTGATAATCATAATATATTTGTAAATATTCACAAGTGAATGGATCAAAAGTGTATATTCTAATTTAATTGAAAGTCAATATATTTAGTCAAATATACCAATAACTAAAATCACAATTTATTAATAAATGAAGGTTCTCAAGTTTTATCATCATTTATATAGTGTGTCTATGAAAGTCTCCTAAATTCTTTCTTCAGTCATTATAAGATTTCTAAAATTGTCTAGGTCCAATAATTATAAATATACCTAAAAAAATAACTTATATATATATATTTACTTGTGCTAATCTGAAATAACATTTCTATCTCTAAATCAAAGTAAAGTCCGCGTACGTCTTACGCTCTACTCTCTTCACTCTCTACTTTATTAAATTACGCTAGGTACGTTATTATTTATTTTTGCTTGTGCTAAGCGTTGTTTTCTCCGCATTCCACTTTATTGAATTATGCTGGATACGTTGTTATTTTTTATTTGTGCTAAGCTATTTCAAGATTAACAAATTAATTTCTTCTCTCTGCATTCCACTTTATTGAATTATGCTCGGTAAGTTGTTGTTTATTTTTACTTGTGCTAAGCTATTTCAAGATTAAAAATTAGTTTTTTGTTGGGTGTGTTGGGAGAAAATTGACAACAAGTGTTAAGGTGACAACAAGTGTGATGGTGGGGTTGCTTTATCCTTCCTTTTCCCCTTTTTCCCTTTTTTGCTGCATTTTTTTTTTGGAAAAAATATTTTCATGAAATGAAAAGAGAAAATCCATTTAGGCATAAACTAATTTGAGATGGTCAAAGAAAAAGATTTTTCTAATTCCTTTTCTTTTTTAATTTTTTTTTTTTTACCTTTTGCATAATCTTGATCCTGCTTCAATACCGATTTGCATTTCTGAATTTGTTTTATCAAATCTTTGTTAATGTTTAAGTCTTTATTTGCTTACTTTAATCGGTGTTTGGTACTTACTAAGAAAACAAGAAGTAGCGGCAAAGTTAGAATTTTACTAAAAATATTGCAGTGGCGGCTTAAGTTAATTAGTGGTCTAAAGCCAAAAATAAATTCGACACCTAATTTTTAATTATTTTTTTATTTTTTATTTCTGGGATTCAAAGTTATTTCTTTCTTTTTAATAAAAAAAACTTTATTTTTTTCAACGGTCTTAAACTTTATATATATATATATATATATATATATATATATACTTATAATAATTTTATTATTACTAAAAAATTGAGCTCTCCGAGTTTGGGGGCCTAAGAAGTATGCCTCATTTTTAAAAGTATTGAGCCGCCCTTGAAATATTGTAATATATAGAAGGAAACATAAGAAAGAAGCAAGAGGATTAAGTCAATATCTAATATATATATACATAAAGAGGTAGTAATTTAATCTTTACGCGTAAGGTGTAATTTTTGAGGGGAGTTAGGATTTTACTAAAAATATTGAAGTATATAGAAGGAAATATAAGAAAGAAGCAAGAGGATTAAGGCTTACATCTAATATATATATACATAAAAAAGTAGTAATTTAATCTTTACGTATATGGTGTAATTTTTCAATAGAGTCGGGATTTTACTAAAAATATTGAAATATATAAAAGGAAACACAAGAAAGAAGCCAAGAGTATTAAGTGGGCATCTATTATATATACATGAAAAAATAGTAAATTTAACCTTTACGTATACGGTGTAATTTTTTCAACGTAGTCAGAATTTTACTAAAGATATTGAAATATATAGAAGAAACATAAGAAAGAAGCCAGGAGGATTAAGTCGACATCTAATATATATACATAAAAAAGTAGTGAAATTTAAGTTGTGCATATATGATGTAATTTTTCAACGAAGGGGATTCTGATGAACTCTTTGTGCCCCTAACTCTGCCCTTGGCTGGAAATGCATGTTCATTTCAATTGTCTTAAATTAAAATCTCAAATATGCATTAGATTATTATTGGCTCACCTTGTTTGCCCTTTTTGTTAATGTTTTTGAAACAAAATTATAAGATGAAGGAGGGATGTCTTATATATATATATATAACGTCAAATATATAGTAAATGATGGATCACCTTTGATTTCTAGGTGTGTTTACTTCTTAATATTCAGAATATCTTTCGTGAAAATTGTGGAAGTAGCTTTTAGGCCTAGAATATCATGTTGTTTCTCTTCTTTTCCAAGTAGATATTGTAATTATGTTATGACAAACAAACAGGTCATCGTAATTATTATACTATGTAATTTTCTTACTATTATTTAGAAGTATTAAGGAAATGGTTGTTTGCTGTTTATATCTTTGAGGATTAAGTTCATTTATATGGTTCTTTGATATTGCAGTTTAAATCTCCTTTGTGTTGCTTGTACTAAAGTGTTGACGATTAATGGCCGGGTTCAATGATCATGTTGCTAGTGGAGATTGGATACCACCTAGCCCTATCCCGAGCCCGAGCTCAAGAGCACTCATCTCTTCACTGCTAGCTGATGATTTTGGATGGTCATCTCATCTGGAGGAAACTAATGAAAGTAGAAACCTCGTTGTCGAGCCTCAAGAGCATGTCACCTGGTGCAACTCTGATGGGGCACAAACTAGTGCAATGACTGATCAAACAGTGAATGTGAGTGCACCATCAGAGCAGAACACGAGTTCTCGTGGAGGGCTCATGGAAAGAATGGTAGCTAGAACTGGATTTAACGTCCCGAGGCTGAATACAGATGGCCTTAGACCTCCTTTTGTGTCACAGAATCAAGAAGTTAAGTCTCCTTATTTGAGTATTGCTGCTGGTCTCAGTCCATCAATCCTCTTATATTCACCTGTTTTGCTCTATAATTCACTGGTATGCACCTCACACTTCCTGTTTAATTAAGATTGAATGTCTCTCTCTTCTATTTGTTTTTAATAACCGAGAAATAGCATAGTGTTTTTATTCTTCGATTTTGATTATCACCTGTACTTTTTGTACTTTGATTATCCCATTATTTTGTTGGCATTACTGTTCTTTCCTCTGTATGTCGTGTGTTACTCCCATTTCATGTTATTAGTTGTCGTTATTACTCTCATTTCTGTATTCTCTTTTTTAAACTGCTTGGAAATGCTTTATAATATGCCGAGGTCTATCAGAAATAGTCTCTCTATCTTGACAAGGTAGGGGTAAGTTATGTGTACACTCTAACCTCACTATAGAAAAAGAAACATTAGTGGCAATAGATCTTCCTTTTAGCGGCAATATTTATTGCCGCAAAAACATTTAGCGGCAATTGAGTTAATGTTATTGCATCCTGAGTCACTAAAACCTTTAGTCACATCTGTAGAGAGTGCTGGTTATAAATACCTATGTTTATTATTGCTACTAAATATAATATAGCGGCAATTATATTTTTGCCATTAAATCCTTTATTTGTTGTAGTGCCTCCCCATAGGGATTATACCAGGGGTATGTTGTTGTTAATAACTGAGAAATCTCTGAAGTCCAGTGGTGCATGGTCTGAAACTTGGTTAATAATGAACTCGTCCCTCTATTCTTCTCCACTTAAGTATCCGGCTTTTTGTCTGCAGCACGGTTTGAATTCATGACGTGCGTCTAATCCACACATTATGTGTTGCACTCTTACCACTAGACCAAAATCCTGGGGACCATTTAGATTGATTGTCTAGTATTGTGTAAGCAGCACATAGATGATGTGCTGGATTTGTCTTGCTCATTATAGGCTAGTCTCTAGATTATGTTGTGAAACTGGAATTTGTCTAAACTGTCAAAGAGGTTTGCTAACACAATAGACCCTGGTCCATTTAGTGCACCATATTTTTCAGTTGAAGTTTTCGAAAATGTGTTGAAGCTGCATAGTTAACGTGAATCAGCAGCCTGTGATTCCCGAACTGAAATATGGTAGAGTTTTGTTCTATTTTTCCTTTAATGCTGTTGGTGTTCCAAAAGTTCCTTCCGAAGTATCCTCAACCCGAGCAGAAGTGCAATGTGTCTGGAAACTTGCTGCCAACCGGCAATCAGCCGCCAAAGTTCTTGCTTTTGATGTAGATATGATTCAAATACACATTTTTGCCACAGGTTTATCCATCTCCTACAACTGGACTATTACCATGTGCCTCAGGCAACGAGAGTAGAAGTGTTATGTTGACGACTGAAGCTGCAGATAAGAGGAATGAGACTGCTTTAGGGACTAATAGTTCATCTTCCTTGTCTTTCAATCCAATTATGGAGACTGGCGGAGTAACCACAATATCTCTCTCTCATGCACACGCGTACACACATATTGCATAGTTTCCTGTCTATTTCCAGTCTCTGAATGTGTTATTACTCTCGGTTGCAGGTAAACGAGTTTAGTCAAATTGAGGGTTCAGTTCATCCAAATAACTCTCTTCAACTTCATAGTATGGCAGCAACTCAAAATGAACAGATATGTCATGAAACAACTGATTTCCCTATGTTTACTGAAGAGGATGTCCGGGGTAGTGATAAAAATCCAGAGATAAGGACCTTTAATGCAGTTGGTGGTAGTACGGAGCATTCTCCGTCTCTTGAAGAGCAACAAGATGAGGACACTGATGGTGATTCTTCAGTTGAAGATGGTTATAATTGGATAAAATATGGGGAAAATCAAGCTAAAGGAAGTGAGTATCCTCGGAGTTTTTATAAGTGCACACATCCAAATTGTCTTGTCAAGAAGGAAATAGCGCGATATCATAAAGGTCATGTCACGGAAATTATATACAATGGGGCTCACAATCACCCAAAACCACTGCCAAATCAGATATCAGCCCTCGGATCTTCAAGTTCATTTGGTGACATGCAACTAGACAATGTGGATCCAACTGGAACAGGTGCTAACAGTGAGCTGGCTTTGGAAACCATCCAACAAGGACCTACTGCTGGAGGCCTCGAGTGGAAGAACGACAATCTTGAAGCAACGTCATTAGCAGATTTGCACTCTGAATACTGCAGGGGAGCTGCCACTTTACATTCAAATGATGCTCAGGTGGGATCAGCGGATGCAACTGACATATCATCTACTTTTACAACTGACGGAGATGATCATGGTACTCGTGGCAGTGCATCTCTAGATTGTGATGATGGAGGAGATGAGTCCGAGTCTAAAATAAGGTTTTTACATCTTCTGCACTAAAATGTAGGATTTCCGATATATTACATCATATGGACCTGATTATCATTTTTCTTTTCTCTTTGATCTTTGATAATCTAGGAAGATAGAACCGGATGCAACAGATACGAGAAGCGTCAGCAGATCAATCAGGCAGCCAAGAATTGTGGTACAAACTATCAGTGAGGTAGATGTCCTTGATGATGGATATCGCTGGCGCAAGTATGGGCAAAAGGTGGTTAAAGGCAATCCAAATCCTAGGTTTGTCATGTTCATTTACCTATTTCATCCTTAAAAGTTCCTAAATTATCTGTTGTAAGTTTGAACCTGTGGCGTGCGCCTGAGACACACATCACTCACTGAATTGTTTGCTTGAACTGATAGATTACTTCCCTTTGGCAGGAGTTACTACAAGTGCACAAACCCCGGCTGCAATGTCAGGAAACATGTCGAGAGGGCCCCATTAGATCAGAGGTCTGTTATCACCACTTATGATGGGAAGCACAACCATGACGTTCCAGCAGAACGCAGCAGTAGCCAAGTTAGCTCAGGTGCTTCAAACTCTCGCTCCAACCCGATAACTACTAATGCTCAAGACCAGGTAGGTAGGCCTGAGCCTAAACAACTTCAGAAGACCAGCAAGCGTTATGGAAAGGCTCCCTCATTTGGTCCTACCTCAGGATCTAACAGTTTCGAAACTAACCAGCAGCAAGGTCTAACCGATCTTTCTATGACTGGATTCAACTCTGATCAGCACCAGTTTTCAGTCCCTTCCCATCCATATACAGGATGGCTACAACCTGTTAACGATGCTGGTTTCGTGCTTCCAGAAGGAGAACCAATGCCAGATCCTAATATGAACTACTCCAATGCCTCATCAACTTATCAGCAAACTATGAATGGATTGCCTCCTGGACCTCAGATGTGAAACTTTGCCTTATTCTAGAATAAGAAAGAAAATGCTAACTTTACATCTATTTGATGTAAATTTCGATACAAACTAGCAACAATAGCTGAATTTGTAGGTGAGAAAGTCTCGTCGTAGTCAAGACTTATATCTCTCAACTGTGTCACAAGCCTTGTGCTTGACTCTGAGAACCTATTTGGTTCTAATACTTTTGTGTTCTTTCGAGTTTCGAAAGATCAACTAGTTCCTAAACTGTGTTCTTTCGAGTTTCGAAAGATCAACTAGTTCCTAAACTTGGTTGATTCTATAATATTATGGACATTTCCCCCTTATAGTATCCTTACAAGTTCATTTTTGAAGCTTTTTTATAACCAAAAATACTACATCAATATCTTTTGGAAGTTTTTGCTTCAACTTCTTGTTGTTTAAGTGGAAATGATTACCAAAAGGGCTCTAGAAATGCAAACATTGATATACTATATGATTTCTCTTTCTAATTAAAACTTCAAGGAAATTCTTTTTGAAAGTTTTTGAGTACACAAAATGTAAATCCTTCTGCATGAAAGAAAATCAATTTGATTTGGTTGTAGTGGTCGTACCTCACTGAGCTATCAATCGCGAAGCTATCACCCAATTCAACCAACCATCTGTTGTTGGTGCCTTTACTACTGATTTGACCGCTTCTCATTATCAATCCAAATTCACCTTGGCCCTTGCCGCTCCCCATAAGGTCAGTGATGTTGTCATGATAAGTGTGGGAAGTTGGTAGTGTACTCGATGATTGAAGGATCTATCGACTTGCATTAGGGGGAACTTTAATGTAATTACAAACTTCTTGCATATTCTACCATAGGGCTCTCTTATCTCTTCCTTACCTACACCATTTCTACTAATGACCTCTTATCAATACATTGTTGTCTATTATTTAAGTCTTTATTTATATTGGCAAAGCTAAATCTGTTTCAATTAAACCCCAAGCATTCCGTCGATTACTACACCCTTCCTCGTCTCTGGATGCCTAGGTATCCACCCGTAAGCCTTTCTGAGGGGGGACCATCACGGTTCCTCTCTTCTTGAGAATTCATACATCCCTTATTAGTATATGGACTATTATCTCTCGAGCACATGCTTAATTCGGAATATGAAGATCAAATTAATTAATGTTTGACATGAATTCAGACATAGAATTTTCAAAAATTATTGAAATAAAATTTACATAAAAAGTATCTATATAAGCCACATAATAGTTAATAACTCAAACTATGTAACTATATGAAAAATTGTTGGAAATCTTACCAGAAATACTTCATCACGAACACTTATAGGAAATTCTCATAGCTCGAGGCATGTCAAGAGATAATGTCTTTAACGATCTTTCACCTGATATAGGTGTATCTCCAGATTCAACAAGGTCTTCTAATATAAAATTAAAAGCATAAAAACTAGTGATAAAGATTCAGGAAAAATTGAAAATCGAACACAAGAAAAGTAAAATAACATCTCTTTTTTCACTCTTTCTCCCCAGAGTCAATTTGTAACAAAACAATAATGACTATATTTAAGTAGAATCAATTGTAATTTCAATTGATAATTATAGCAGATGTTAAGAATGATAGCATTGAGTAGAAATGCTAATCAAATTAAGCAAAACCATTAAAGGCTCCCTTATTTATTTGTCAAATATTTTGTTATTTGATTTCTATATTTAGTTGTCATTTTCTAACGAATCAAGAAAAAACAATTTTATTTTTTCTATTATACTCTCAATTTATTAATATTAGTGCATTTGAAAAATGCAATAAGTAAATATGTTTAGGATCCTATCAATTAATAGGGGATAAAATGATAAACTCTGTATATCAATTATTATTTTTTAATAGGTGTGTCAAGTCAAAAATTGACAAGTAAGTTCGAAGAGAGGGAGTATTAAGGTTTAAAAGAGTATGTTATATGTTACATATAGTCAATAAAAAATGAATGAATTTTTGACCGAAATCATCCATTATTTAGATCAATTCACCAAAATAATACATTTAAAATTTTCTTACAAAACTAAAAATAAATGTGTTTCTCAGTAACGTTTTGACTATATTTATATTTTATTCAAAAAAAATTCAATGGCAAAAAGACAAACTTCTAACGGAGTAAACAAACATGAAACGTTACTGTCAATAACATTTTGTGAGTAACGTTTTATAGGTAAATCTGCAAGATTCTAATTTTGCAGGATTCGATTCCAATTTTGCAAGATATAATTGTCCATAATTAGATTTTAAAGAATTGTTACGGAGTAACAAATTAATAAGACGTTACACTAATGTTTTGTGTCTGTTTTTGAGTAAAATATAACTTGAAACTTTATTGAGAAACACAATTATTCTAGTTTTGTAAAATTTCAACTAGTTTTTTTTGCACTTGAACTAAAGGTCTTTCAAAAAAACGGAAAAGGGTCAAAATTGCCCCTGAACTATGCGAAATAGACCACTTATACCCTCCGTTACATTTTGAGATCAAAAATACCCCCGCTGTTATCCCTAGAGACCACAAATACCCCTCAAAAGTTAACAATCCAAATTGTTAATGACATGGCAAGCCATGTGGACTGATCTCGCCACCTAAGCTGCCAACTAGGATTTCCAACAATTAGAAATCCTTCTAAAATTAGAAATAAATCTTTTATTTTTAATTACATAAAAATTATTTATATTTTTAATTAAAAACCTTTTATTTTTAATTACGTAAATATTTACCACTCTTTATTAATATTTATATTTATTGTTGTTAAAAGTTATTTTTTCATCGTAGTTTAACTAATAACCAAGTATATTTCCACTTGATAAATAACTACTCCCTCTGTCCCATTTTATGTGGCACTATTTCCTTTTTGGTCAGTCCCAAAAAGAATGTCACATTTCCTTATATGGTAAGTTTATAAAGGTACAATTCCTCTTTTATCCTTGTTGGTCCCACTTAATCTTAAAATAATACTCCAATACATTTATGAGGAGAGAGAAAAAAAAGTCTACTTTTTAAAGGGCAATTTGGTAAACATTTCAAAGTCTTCATTTATTTCTTAAACTCCGTGCCCGGTCAAATGTTGCCACATAAAATGGGACGGAGGGAGTAATATATAATATATCTAACTTGATAGGATGATTTTTTGTATGACATACCTGTATCTTCTGTATGTATGAGGGAAAATTTACGGCTCGATAATATTAACTTTGTTCTTGTTTTTTTTGTTGGATTAATACAATTTTAGGAGATTTAGATTTTTAAAAAAAGTTAGTGGTAATCCTAGTTGGCAGCTTAGGTGGAAGGATCAGTCACACATGGCTTGCCATGTCATTAAAAATTTGGGTTGTTAACTTTTGAGGGGTATTTGTGGTCTCTAGAGATAAGAGTGAGGGTATTTTTGAGCTCAAAATGTAACAGAGGGTATAAGTGGTCTATTTCACATAGTTCAGAGGCATTTTTGACCCTTTTCCGTCAAAAAAACAACATTTCTACTTCCACAAGATAAGGATAGGATCATGTGCACACTCTACTCTCCCCAAAACACACATTAAAAATTACATTGGATACATAATTGCTGTAAACTAACATACATAATATTGATAAAGGAGTCCTGAGATGAGGATGATATAGGGTGCACATAATGGCATAGTCAATGAGAAAAGGAAAATATAGCCAAAACATTAGAACTCTTGGCAATTAAATTGTCTCATAAACACAAATGATTGGAAGTTTTTTCATTAATAATGAATAAATTTTTCCTTCAAAACTCTATCTATATCTACTATCATTCGCCTTATATTGGCATCTAAAACTATAGAGTAAAATTCATGTACAAATACGAGGTATTGGACTACACAGGTAAACTTATTGACAACTATATCTAATACAAATCAAACCCAAAAAAAATAACAATAAGATTTAAATAGGGTATGCTATGGAGTCTATAAAGTATTGAAGGGAACTCAAACCAAAATTATGAGCAGAAACAACTGTGCAGTCATATTGCATAACCAGCTGATGCTCAAACTCATCAACAAACAAGAATCAATTATTGAAGCTTGCTTGTCATACTCGGTCCCTCTCGATAATTAATGACCATTTGTCACCATCTGCTTGTCATTGTCTTCTTCTCTCTGCTGGTATACTGACTTTCGGCGACTGATTTCATTCCTGTGGGAATTATAATGATCAGAAAATGCCTAAGGATACAAATTAATAGCTTCTAATCAAATGGAGATTTACATTTGTAATCGCTAGATTGATACCTCGTATCTTGTGTTCTCTTAGTCATTTATTGCAAGATACACAAATACGAGGAAAGATAGATGTATCACCATTGGAACTAGAGCATAAATCATAAAAAGTTCATCCACAATCTCAATAATACTACAATGTTTGCGGCCAACTTCTCTTCTTCCAAGAAAAACAAGTTCATCCAAAATAAAAGCAGGCAAGACAGCGCAGTAGTTGTTTTTCCCCAGAGCCTAGCCTCATAACGTTTCAAAGGTGTTCTACACACTATTCATACTATAGTTTTAAGCCATATTTCATCAAATACTGGAGGAACTCTATCAGTTAGTTCACATCTTCAATGCCACTTTTCTATTTATTGCAAGTTGGTAGTTTATCTCTCACGTAACACAAAAATGTCAGTTGGACTTCCAGAACACAAAGTCATTGTAGTAGGCATGTTACCATTCTTTACATTCCCTAGGGAAAAACTGCTAAAGAATATTTTAAATTAAGGAAAGAAAAAGTCCAGAAATCGATTATCTTTTTTTCATTTTCTTAATATACATCAAATAACAACTTTACCTTAATCAAATATTGCATAGAACCAAACATATAATATGATTTAGTTTCGGATAACCCCTTGTTTTTTAAAACCAACTGTAAGCGTATGATTTTCATAGTATAGGGGGTGTAGGTGTTTGATTTTAAAATACAAGGGATGTATCTGAAACTGAGTCATATTACAGGGTGTTTAGTGTAATTTATCCTAT